TCCATGATTGAATTTTTTGTTTTTTGCTTTTTTTGTAACCCATGATCGGGTTTTTTGTAATCCATGATTGAATTTTTTGTAATCCATGATCGAACTATTTTTTTCTTTTTTTGTAATCCACGATTGAATTTTTTGTTTTTTTTGTTTGTTTTTTTTTGTAATCCATGATCGAATTTTATGTAATCCATGATCGAATTTTATGTAATCCATGATCGAATTTTATGTAATCCATGATTGAATTTTTTAAAAATTTGTGAATTTTTTTTTTTAATCTATGATCGAATTTTTTTTTGTAATCCATGATAGAATTTTTTGAAAATTTGTGATTTTTTTTGTAATCTATGATCGATTTTTTTGAAAATTTGTTATTATTTTTTTTTAATCCATATTATTCAAAGAGAAAATGAGAGAGATGATGATTTTGAGGCCACCCTATCCCAGCCATATTATTCACATATCGAGTCCCAACAGCAACAGTGTAGGGATGAGCACGAAATACTGTAAATTAAATGTTGAATGGTGGTTCATGCAGGGAAAGAACATATCAATATTCGCATATTCATTCAAAAACATGAAAATTCTTAATGGAGTACCCTCATTTTTTATTGAATTCCTAAAAAATAATATTTATAATGAATTTTAATAATTTTTTCGAATTTTTTTTAAGCTTTATTCTGACCGATTCACCCGATTCTCGATCCGAATCGCCGATTCACCGATCCGGATCGGTTTTTTAGAAGCCCGATCCGGATCACCGATTCGTTTTTTAAACCATTGATCGAAAGTGTTAATATACCGTGGCTTTGTGGTTTTAAGTGGGCTATCGCATCAAAGACACGACAGCCGCATTTGATATATAAAAAATTAAAGCACTTTCCTTCAACAAATCTCACCATAAAACTCATATTACCTAAAATTTCATTTCTCCCTCCTTTAAGTGGTATATGATCATTTCTTGTTTGGAAGGCTAAAAACAAGTTTTCTAAGGCTCAAGGAAACAACATCTTTGTCTATGTAATATGTTTCAATTATAACATTTTATCACGACGAGATGATCAAAACCAGTTTTCGACTACTTGGTCCAAGTTCCGAGTTGCACTCGGCGAGCTTGAGTTCCCCGAGTTAGGTATCCCACTTGGGGTTATTAAAAAAAAATCTTAAAATATCACAAAAAGAAAGATTTTTTTTTTCTTCCTATTTTCTATCATTTTGGCCAAAAATTGTTTTGGCCATGAATATTTATTTTTATATTTTTTATTTATTTTTAATTATTTTTAAAACACCTCCCATAACAAATTGATTTTTTTTCAAAATCTATTTTTGCTTCTTCTATTTTTACCTCATTTAGATGTCTTTTATTTAATTTAACTTGAAATATACATTTCCTTTTTTTATAATTTTTATTTTTTTAACATTTTTTTGCTGCTAGAATATTTGGCCTTACGTGGCTCGGTCTTGAGCCAAATACTCGACTCAGGCATTGGCCAAGTCGAGTACTTGGCTCAAGAACGAGCCAAGTATGAGCCCTGGTTTCTAACACTGGTTGTATGAGCCATGGTATTGGAGATTTTCCTCTTCCATTTGAGAGACGGGTTTTAGAGAAACAAAAAAGAAACGATGATTTTGATACAGTAAAAATACACAATCTTACTATAAAAAATTTTAACCATACATTTCAAGGCTTTATATGTTTCACAAAGTTAGATTTGCAAGCAATTATACTATTTTTCAATATGGGATTTGGAATTTTCCTTAGATTTTGAGGGGCAATCAAGCCACATTTTACCAAAACCTCAATCTAGGCAAGGAATTTATATTACGAGATTATTTATTTTTAGTACAAGGTCACAATTTTTTTTAGCTATTGGATGTGAAATCTAAAGTATTATTTTTTAAAAATCTCTTTTAGATTTAAGCCATATCGTGACCCATTTGATTTCACATCCAATAGTTGACAATATTTGTGACCAATCAAAATTAAATGGTCCCGTATCAAAAATTCAAAAGGGAAAAAATTATATAAGGTTGCAACCTTAAATTGTAGAATCACATATGCACTTCAAAAATCTATCGAAAATGTTATTTTAATGTTGAAAAAGCCCTCGTATCAATCATCTTGACATCGGGATCTATGAATATGAAACAAATAAGTTTTTGAATATCGGAAATAGTGCATCTTGCAACACATTATTTAAGATATTGAAATTCATAAAATGAATGGTGTAGATTCATTTTTGGAAGGGACTCATTTTGACCGTAGGTTTCAAATTGAACTTTTTTTTTTTGGATTGATTATTGAGATGAATAGAGTGTGTGTACAAAATTTGAGGTCATACAAATACCACAAACATGATTTTTTAGAAGTATCGTTGCATTCTACTATGATACAACCGTTCCATTGGATAATTACTCGTTCATATATTTATAGATCTACTTGATTTTAACTATTTTTTAAATTAAAACTTTTCTAATTAGGTACGAAAATGGATTTTAAGATAATACTAAAAAAAAACTTACAACAAAATTATATGTCATGATAAATTTTTAAAGGTGTGCCGTTTAAGGTTTCAACCTTATAAAAACCGCACCCAATTCAAAATTAAATGGTATTAGAATTTGTGTTTGATGTAGGAGACCTCGATTGAGTCGTAGAACGATCCCCATTTTGAAACAAATATTAAGTTAAGGTTTCAGTCGGAGGGAAACATTGGCGACCGCCATTAATCCGAACTCCAGATCCCCATGAAACTGAGAGGTGAGCCCTACACCTTCCTGAACATGATCTCCATCCAATCTCACCACCATCAATTGGCTTTTCTGGCGGCCCTCCTCTCCGCCACCGCCTGGTGCTTCTACAAGTCCACAACCCTCAGAACACAAAGGAGAGAATCAACAAACCTACTGCACTCTTCCCACCTCGATCATTATAAGAAACCTAAGAACCAGCAGCTTAAATGCTCGTCTTCGTCGTCCTGCAACTGCAGCACCTCACGAGAGCAACCAGACAATTCTTGCTGCAGGAGTGCTAAGATATTCTTTGCTTCTGAAACCGGAACTTCGGAGGGCCTGGCGCGCCGCCTCCTCCAAACCCTAAATGCCTCCTCCAAACAACTCATGTGTTCATTTGAGCTCGTGGATCCGAGCAGGTACGAGCCCGAGGATTTGCCCAAAGAAAACCTGGTTGTGATTGTGGCCTCGACTTGGGAAGATGGGAAGCCCCCCAGGAACTCGCAATTCCTTGCTCAATGGCTCCACGAGAGCTCCAACGATTTTAGGGTTGGCTCCACCCTCCTCACCTCCTGCAAGTTCGCTGTCTATGGGGTCGGGAGCAGCTCCTATGGCCCCAAAACCTTCAATAAGGTGGCTAGGGTTTTCTCTCACCAAATGGAGGCACTCGGTGCGATTGAGATCCTGCCCCTTTGCAAAGGGGATGTGGATACTGGTGATTTGGATCAATCCTTCAATCACTGGTGCATCCAAATTATAGACAGATTGTCAGGACTTGGGGATCGGTTATCCTCCTCAAATTTGAGGTCAATTGAGGTGGCTTCTTCTTCCAAAGGAGAAGATGAAGAGGAAAAGGCATCTGATGGTATTGAAGAAGATTCAGATGATGATAAAGAGAATAATGCATCCGATGGTTTTGAAGAAGATTCAGATGATGATAAAGAGAATAATGATGGTGAATCAGTTGTTGATTTGGAAGATATAGCAGGCAAAGGTCCATCAAGGGAACCTCCACAAAATGGCAAGGTTGGAAGGAGGAGGAAATCTTTTGGAAAGACACAGGCTGATGTTAAGCCACTTTCTTCGATGAATAGAGTAGAGAATGGCGAGAGAAGGGAGATGGTGACGCCCGTTATTAGGGCTAACTTAGAGAAGCAGGTTTATGGTTTTCGATAAGTTGGTTTTTTTCTCAAATTATTTTGGTTTACAATAATTAGCGTTTTTTATTGAATTACCATATAGGACATCAACTTAATATTTTGGTTTTATGACTTTTCCTTTTTGCAGGGGTATAAGATCATTGGTTCCCATAGTGGTGTGAAGATTTGCAGATGGACCAAGTCGCAACTGCGGGGACGTGGTGGTTGTTACAAGCACTCCTTCTATGGTATAGAGAGCCACAGGTTATCTTCTTCTCCTTTATCTTCCTTGGTATTTCAAGGAGAAAATTAATGCTATATCTGTTTTTATATTATCTTCAAGGATTCATTTACTAATTGTTCTTACTTTTCTATTTGTATCTCCTTTTCATGCTACTTCTGTTGGTATGTCTAACTATTTCCTTGTAAATCCTTTTCTAATGAATGTATGAGCAAAGTCACTACTTTACAACTACCAATATTGAACAGGAGGCAAGATTTTGTGATCTCTACTGCTTCATAATATATCTATGGGAATGTTAGTTACGGACGTGTCCCTTATAATGAGAGAAATCAAGTTGTCTATCAAAATGTCTCGTGTTTGAAACAATTTTAGACATCATTGAGAAGCAATATTACCTCAATGAATTGTGTAATGGATGATTTATGGGCTCCCTATGGATTTGAACCAGCTTGAATGCTCTTTTTTATTTTTATCTAATGAGACTATATACTAATTGTTTTCTATATAGATATTTATGTTCAAAACTAGAAATTTCTGTATGTGAAATGCCTATCTTCTCAGTTTTGAGTGGCTTATCTAAGTTGTAGCGTGCCCTGAGAGAAACAGCATTCATCCTAGGTCTCATGAGTGGTTAATATATGTGCTACACTTCTCATTTATAATGAGGGCAAACAAGTAGAGGCATACGAGTAGAGGCACACAATTGAATGCCCTTTTATAATGAGGCAAAACTAGAAATTTCTGTACATGAACTTCTATGTTGTAGGGGGAACATAGAAAGCTTTCCCTTTTTCCAATACCTTCTGAAGATGGTATCAAAACTTAAGAGAAATAATAATCTAGTTTCTGCACTGCTGACACATGAATCTCCCTAACCTGCGATGATCAGCCAAATTTTATTTAAAATTTCAAATAACTATAACCGTGTCTTCGAGATTTATTGGAAAAGAATTTTGAAATATTGGTGAGTGGGGAGTTTATTACAATAAAAAAAGAAGAAGAAGGAAAACGTCTTCTTTCTTGCTCTCCCAACATACCACCACATTCTGTTTAAGCAGCGTTTGCGATCTATTAATTTTAACCATCTTATGTCAGGTTGTTTGTATTTCATCAACCTATTTATTGCACTTTTTATGCAATGATTGCTTCTCAGTTTACGTAAATTATCTGCTATTTTAGTGACCTTACTTTTGCCTGGAAGTCTGACTTTCTCCCTTCCTCTTGACAGGTGCATGGAGGCAACCCCCAGCCTAGCTTGTGCTAATAAATGTGTGTTTTGTTGGAGGCACCATACTAATCCTGTTGGGAAGAGTTGGCAGTGGAAGTTAGATGATCCTCTAGAAATTGTAAATGCTGCAATCGACGAGCACACAAAGATGATTAAGCAAATGAAAGGAGTTCCAGGTTGGTTCTACTTCTATAAGACAAGCACATATGCATTATGAAGACAGCGTGCGTGGGGGTTGATTGCCAATAAACTCAGTTTCAGTTAATCTCGCATCAATTTTCTGGTTCTTGTGTGATGCTACACTCATGTGGGCATAAGTAGTGATGATTCAAGTGGTTTTCTATGTGGCATACAGGAGTGACTACGGAGCGTCTGTTTGAAGGTCTTTCACCTAGGCATTGTGCCCTTTCCCTTGTTGGTGAGCCTATCATGTACCCAGAGATCAATGCCCTCATTGATGAACTGCACAAGCGACGGATTTCTACATTTCTTGTAACAAATGCTCAGTTTCCAGAAAGAATTAGAATTCTTAAACCTGTTACTCAGGCACGTAGCTCTCTGATTTGATTCATTATAAAGTCTAAATGCAGGAGGCATGTAGGTCTCTGGTTTGAGGGTAGTTGGCTCATTTATTTAGTGGGAGTTTCGTCAGATAATTTACTTATTGACATTTTATAAATTTCCAGTTGTATGTGAGTGTAGATGCTGCAACAAAAGAGAGCTTGAAGGCAATAGACAGACCTCTCTTTGGGGATTTCTGGGAGCGATTCACTGTAAGTAAATTATCTTTAGATGGGAGGTGAGTTCTTTGATTGCTTAAGAAAGATATAGCTGAAATTGATCCGGAGAAAAAAAAGGTATAACTAAAGACTTAAATGACAAGGGATGACTATGAGCTGTTTGACCTTAATACAGTTTGTTTTATGTTTAAAGTCATTGAATTCTGAAAGAATTTTATCTAGTTCATGAAAGGGGTGAACGGCATTTCACTTATGTGGGTTGTAAGTGAGGGTACAACATAAGTTTTTTAGCAAATGCTGTGCTGTATCGATCTAAAAATCTTGTAATCGACCTTTGTTCTATGACATTTTTCTTCGTTTTTTCATTTAAATCATACCGAATACACATATAAGTCTTATAGAGGCTGAGTTACTCGCATGTTTAAGTTTAGCAGAACAGTTCCCTAGCTATCTGGAATAGTTCCTGCTTGAGTATTCAGGTCTTAGAAAGATGGACTCTGTCTTCCCTTTGATTCATTTTCTGTAACAGTGTTGGAATATCATAGCACAAGATTGCCTGCATCCGCACCCCTCAAGCAAGTATTACACAAATAATTGAATGGAGGGGCATGTGTTGTATTGAATTTCAGGACAGGAATCAATAGGGTCTATGGGTTTTATATAATTTACTTGGAATCTGTCCACAAAAAATGTTTCTTTAGTGGGAATGCCATAAATATGTGTTAGTCGAGCTTTTTGATGAGCATAATTTTATGGAATTCATGTTTCTCCTTACAGTTCTTCACTTGATTAGTGTAAATATTGGCCACCATCGTGGAAGCTGGCCATCTAAAGAAGATAGATGCGAGGCCATTAACAAGATTGTCATACTAAATATTGTTGGACTTGCCTTGGCCACAAACCTCGTTTTACAATATTGGACATGTTGGATTGCATTTAGAAATCAGTTAAACTATTTTGCTAACTTAGGATTCGATATCATGGCTCAAACCTTGTACTTTTCTAGTCGACTGGGTGTCTATGTTATATCTTGTATCAGTGAATATATTTATGTACCAAGTGTTTTAACCATTGATATTGTGACATATTGATAGGATTCATTGAGGGCACTTCGTGAGAAGGAGCAGAGAACTGTGTACCGCTTGACTTTGGTCAAAGGATGGAATGCCGAGGACATAGATTCATACTATGAGTTGTTCAGCGTTGGAAAGCCAGACTTTGTTGAAATTAAGGGTGTTACCTACTGTGGCTCGTATGTCATCTTTCAATCCATCTCATTGTTTGAGGGTGTTCATGTCTTCCTCTTTTCTTATTGTTTTGTTTGCTTAATTGCATCTTGCCTCTTGAGATTTTTTTAGGTCTGCAACCTCCAAACTGACCATGGAGAATGTACCCTGGCATTCGGATGTGAAAGCCTTTTCTGAGGCTTTGGCCTCGAAGAGTGGCAGCGAATATGAGATTGCCTGCGAACATGCCCATTCTTGTTGTGTACTCCTGGCAAGAGCTGACAAGTTCAAAGTTAATGGCCAGTGGTTCACTTGGATTGACTATGAAAGGTTCCATGACTTGGTAATCTCTCTCTTTCTCTCTCTCTCTCTCTCTCTCTCTCTCATACGCACACAAAACAAACAGCTTGTTCTAACGTATTCTCCTTGATTTCAAAATGTAGGTGGCTTCAGGTGTACCCTTTGGTGGTAAGGATTACATGGCAGCCACACCCTCCTGGGCTGTTTATGGTGCTGAGGAAGGTGGGTTTGATCCAGATCAGGCCCGTTATAAAAAAGAGCGACGACATGGAAGTTGTAATGGTCAAAACCGTCAGCCTATAAGCTAATGCAGCGTGAGTGCTATCGATTGAGGAACCATGGAGGCTTATGCACAGTATGTGAAGTACATGGGCACTCTTTTTTTCATTTTATTCTTTTTCCTGCAAGAGATTTTGAGTAGAAACCCTACGTTTCATAGGTTCTTAACACACTTAAAAGCAGAGAAAGGAAAAGTTGTGATCAATTTTTTTTCCCCCATCTTTTCTATTGAAAGGAAAATCTTGCATTTTGCAATGATAGGAAGTGAGAAATAACAAAGGGATGTAGTTAACGATAATGTGGTATTTTCTGCATGGAAATGGAACTATAGTTATTCTTTTATGGAATCTCTCTTGGTAGTCATTTATTCTATAACGGTTTCACTTTTTGTTAGTCTCAACTATTTCATATTCTTTTCTGAGTTTGTTTTTTCATCAATTTAAGCATTCAGGAATTGAACTTATAACCAAATTCCTTATATACTTCTTATTTGTGAGAACAACTGTTATTCAATTGCAGAATGATAACAAGGCACAAAACGAGCAGGACCGACCTCCCTTCAGAGCCGAGGTTGAACTCAGCTAGTAGCCGAAAAGAGACCATCATATTCTGGTAATTGCAGAAAACATATGGTTTTGCACTGAGAGAAGTTACCATACATGAAGACCGTTTATGTTTGGTACAAGAGGCTCTGATTACCCCCCGTAGCATAGTGGCTAGCTTTAAATCATGATGCTGGGGGTGTGCCCGTTCGATAACACTCAAAAGTCGTGAATTTTACTTAGCGCAAAACAATGGCACACCAGCTCTGAGAGTTTTTTTTTCTTTCAATATATACCAAAGTTATTGGCTTTTTTTGCATACAATCCCAATGTATATTAGTATGTATGTTATGCTCCCATGGGGGCAACACAGTATTCTTACTCCTTTGGTAAAAGAGCAATTTAGGAGTATGTTTCTAATAGTGCTTCCGAGCATAGTGTACATTTACTGCCTCGTTTAGAAGAATTATTAGGGAGAATTTTTTCAATCTTGAATTTTGGGAACTACCTGAGAATCACTAGCAGGCAGACTATTTTTAAAAGAAAAAAATTGAAATCTGAGTTTTCTAACACTCATATCTCACTTTCTAATAATTTGATGGTTTCTATTCAATCTCGAGACATTGTTTTTTTTTCAAGTGCATAGTCAGTGTGATTAGGAATTTTTTATTTTAATTGAGGTTAATGCATGGGTTGAGAAGTTTACATCCGCAATGGGGTCTTATCCGATGGTGCAAATGGTACTTGCATGGGATTATAAATTCTTTTGGCATTTTTTTCAATCCGCACTTTCGTATGCACCTAAGAATCACTAAGAACACGATTTTGAGTTCTTAACTCGTAGGTTTAGGGTTTGTTTGACAAAACAGAATTGAAATATTCAAACTTTTTAAAAATCTGAATAAAGCCACTACTATATATGAATTATATATTATACTGATATATATTTTTCTGCACATGTTTGATTATCTTTTATACAAAAAAAAAAAAGGAACAATGTCATCACACCACACCCTGTCTTTTTCTCTCTAATTTCACTTGTTTGATCGTCTTTTATACAAAAAAAAAGTAAATAAAATAAAATAATATATATATATATATATATATATATATATATATGCAAGCAAAGTGATCACACTACACCATGCCTTTCTCTCTGATTTTGATTATCTTTTATCTTCTCTCTAGCCACCCTATTTCTCCAAAAACTCTCTCTGAAAAGAAGAGTTGCAGGCAATCTCTGCAACCTTGCAGGAAGCCATTGATTGGGCGAACTCGTGTTTCAAAGAGAATACACCGGCAAACTTTGAGCAATCTCAATAATTCGGTATAAGCAATGAAAGAGGATGAAAAGAAGGTGCTATCAGTTTTGGGTCGAAGCAATATATATGCAATTGTTCAATTGTTGGGCTCAGGTACTCATCATAGATGAGGGAGAGAATGGCAAGGGTAGTGTGTTCTTAGATTTTGTTCATCAGTTGCAGGAGAACGTGGCAATGGTTCTCTTCTTATACTTGATCCAGAATCATCCAATACACTAAATTATTGGACCAACCAATTGCATTAGAAAAAAAATGACGCTGAAGTTCGAAAGAGCTTTAATTTGGGGAGCAATGTAGTTGGCCCTGAAATCCAACCATGAGAGATAGACCCAATGGAGAAGACCCTCAATCTTGGAGGGTGTAGGCATATGCAAATTGGGTGTCTGAAAATGCCAGCCTTTAAGGTGCGCAACAACCTCAACAACCCTAATCGTCAATGCCATTACAAGAAAACGTCCGTTCAATTGAAAGAGATGACCTTTGTATGATTTTTGAGGCTCCATGGCTGCTTCTCGCCTGAAAGTTAAACCTCTTTTTGGCCACCCCAATAAGAGAGGTAGGAAAGTAGGCAACCTTGTTGGACGGGAGAAAGAGAGAGAGGGTGTCTGAGGCTTAATGCGAACGATAGAGAGAGCCCCGCCCTTCTGATTTTCAGCATCCCGGAAATTTCAAGTCCGAGTTTAATTTTTGGGGATTCAGATATGGGTGCAGTTAACATATGGATGCATCCGTAGCTGTTGGTATATAATTTTGAAGTAAAATATTCTTAGGATTACCTCAAAATCTATTTTTATATCTAATTAT